GGGATATCATTGATGCTCGGTGGGAGGTACAGTTACACCGTCATCTACATGCAACGGCGTATTATCTCAATCCTCAATTTTAATATTCAAAGAGGAAATCCTCAAACCCGGAGGTGAAGCTTGGCTTGTATCATTGCATGGAATGACCAATATCGGACCAGACCGTTAGGGAGCTTGTAGATTTACAACTTGTTCTATTTCGGAATAAGAAGGAATTTTTTTGTCTGCAAGCAGCAAAATCAACTATTGCCAAACGGTCTCCAGTTATACTTATTTTTGTAAAGGCAAAATACTTTAATATGTTCTGATTATTATTTTTCTTCTTAAAAATAATTGAATGGTGTATCCAATTTGGTGATTCTACCCATGAGTTACAGAGTTTTGTTATTAGAGTTTTGGGTCTCACTTATTCTTCTTCTGGGTGTGAGTGAAACTGGAGTACATATAGTCAAGTGCAAACAAATAGAAGAAATTAACTTTCAACACTCAAAATGAACTCCCTTGTGTATATTATACACAACAAGAGGTTGAGAGAAAGGAGGTTGAGGAATAAGGGATTGAAGGATGATGAGGACCCTTTGGTGTGTGGTGATGTGGCATCTAATAATGAGTGATTCATAGATGATGAGACAGATTTGCCATTATCAGACTTGCAACTAGAGGATCTAAGTGTGGATATTTTGAGGGGCGAAGCAGATCAAGTGGGCACATCCACTAGTACCACACCACACACATCCACTAGCTCTGCAGCACAACCAAATAAAAATATTCAACAACTTCTTATATATTATTACATTATATTTATATCAAGTGGGCAAGTAACATGATAATGATCATTCTTACTGAACAAGAAAGAGAAAAGTGAGTCACATTGAAGATGATGAAGATATAACATTCATAGATATAATTGGATAAGAAGCTTCCCTTGAAGACTCATTTAGTAATGGGACATGATAGGATTATATATGTTCTTTCTTAATTGTATTTTGAGAGTTTTGATAGACTAATATTTTGTTATTTTGTACTTTGGAACATGATTTTATTACATCTATTTTCTTACTTTCTACTAATTTCACTTTTCATTTAGATTTTTTTATTATATGATAGAATATTACTATTATTTACTTGGTAAAACCCTTAAATTCTTATTTACGTAATTATTCGTCCGTGAGGCTTACGCCTCACACCGCCTCGAGGCTTACGCCTCGCCTCACGGACGAAAAATGTCTCGAGGCTTATTTACGCAATTTTAAACCTTGTCTCATCCCAGATTTAGGACCAGGCAATGGCAATGTTAAGTTTATATAAATTATATGAGTTAAAATAATTTAAAAGTCCACACATAAATTATCTATTTCAAGTTGAAACAACTCCATACAAATCATAATTCAAATTCATGTCTATGCTGAGTCAAATTAAAATCAAAATTTTGAGTTGCGCTAAATTCGACTGGCTCAAAGTCGACCACTAGCTATCATTTACTAACAAAAGAACTCAATCAACATCACAACATAACAAAACCTATGTAACTCTAAATCATATCATCCACAAATAAAGTATATCATGTCTTCTTTATAAAACTAACTTGATATGAGCCAATACAATATCTAAAATAAAATATTTTAAAGCAATTAAAACATTTTTAGTTTATAAGAAATAAAATTAAAGTGAATAGGACAATACGACTCAAGTTCTATCATTTTAACCTTGAAATTCTATTACAAAATGTTATCTTATATTCCCTGACCTAAAATCAAAGTTGGTTTTGCCACGACTCACCCACCTGTTCAATGTGTCAACTAGAACCCAAGCCAACTAAACCTCTTCATCCTCATCATTACTAAACTTATCCCAACTATTTATAGTAGGCTTTATGAATCCACATTTTTCATTCACTCCTACTAATTCACTCCCACTAATATTTTATTAGGAGATAAATTTTTTCTTCGCAAATCATTTTAAACCTCTTCTATCCATATAACCTTATATTTCCTACCCAAAGGAAAATTAACAAGACAAAGGATGAAAGGCTAGGAGATTTCTAGAAGGAATTAGATGAATCCATGTAGAGGTATAACAACTACTTGCCAAATCTCAGCAAAGTAAAAAAGAAGTATCAGGATGACTATCACCAAGTAAAAAAGAAGTTTAAGAAGCAGATAACATGAAGCTCCATATCAACGAGAAGATATTCAAAGGGAAGGGCTTTAAAATCAAACCAATTACATATGGATTATTCACGTCCACAAGAAGATCAGAAACAAACCATACCAGTTAGTGCTAGCAATCTACATAAAGATATACTTTGTGGTGAATGTGGAGAATCCGATATCATTTGCGCATTCAGTGTTGGATGACAAGATCGAGGAAGTTCTGGCCCTCTTGCAACCTACTGTTGAAGGCTTGGAGAATAAACTGGAAGACCATCTGTTGGAGAATAGAACCACAACGATCCACACCACAAAGATCCACCGCAACACCAAGATGTTCTATAGAATTATCACAAAAGGATTGATAGTCTCAAGCACAATATAGTCCTTGGAGAGGAATATCATAATTCACTCACCTTCGACATGATTCATAATAGTGTCTCACATCCTAAAAAATGGGATCATGATCAAAGGATCAAAAGATTTGCAAAGAGAATGCGGAGAAGGAATAACCAATGACAATTCTCAAGAGTGTGTTAAGCAGATGCAAAGAAGAATCAACAAAGCCAAATAAGGTTGCGGCTGATTGGAATCAAGGTTTTAGAGAAAACACTTCAATGTAAAGCTGTAAAGTGCATTTGTAAAATCATTTGTTGTTGAGGAGTTCAAGCATCCACCTGGTGCTAACTATCTGATTCACAGCTACCTTTCTCATAACTAACTTCAAAACGATGTGATTGAAACCCTGCTTTCTTATTATAGATTTCCCGCCTTTTATAACAGGCATTCTCCGCCTATAAAAAAGGGGGGTCATACGGAGAGAGGAGGAAAATGATTGATCTTTTCTTGGATCATCTAAATTACAAAAAGAGAGAGAGAGAGAGCGCTCAAGGAAGTCAGAGACTTTTTTTCCTCCCTTTCGTAGATGCCTAGTGGTATTCATTCTCTTGAATGAAATAGAAGTTACCTCCATCTAATCCAGAATCCAAGTTAAACACATTTTTTCAAATCCCCGAATCGCCTCATCAACATGTTGGACATATCCCATCTAGTGTCCCGCATATGATTTTGGATAATAGCTCTATTTTTTGTAATAGTTCTATCAATATCATAGGCTGCAAAGAAATCAAGTACAACTCCTATTACATTTCTAACTCATATTTCATAATCACCAATAAATCCACCCATAGCTCATCCTACAAGAATTTATATTTGTCTTTAAATAACATACAATAAACATTCATTGTTCATCAGGTACATGGTACAATAGTTCACCCATCGCATAAAAAAACTATGCTCTAATCCAACTTCAAGAGCTTTAGCACATAACACATTTATAATATTTTCAATAACATTTATCTTAATAACAATAACCCAATCACTAACCAAATTCACCACAATAATTTTATCATTCAATTTTTTACCTAGACTCTTCCAACCACATGCCTATTATTTAGCCTATCCAACAAACAATAGCTTCAACTTTTTTCAACTTTAAATTTTTCTCCTTTCATTTTGTTTCTAGTAAACAAGTAATACTTATTCTTTGTCTAATCATTGATTATGCTGATTTTTTTATCTTTTCAGTCAAAACCCACAAATTTCATGCAGCAAATATAATATTAGATTTAAAACTAGTCAATTCATACTTGTTTTTCACCATACTCAAGTTAAGCAATACTGTGTCACTACAGAGTGGTATCCAAAGAAAAATCAATTAAATAAACTTTTTCGCCAAGCTTGGGCTACATGGAGCAACTTTAAATACAAGCTACCACTGCCAAACAGGGCCCTTGCAACATAGGAAAACTCATCAAAGCATAATTGGCGTAACATAACTGTTAAGTATATTCACATGCATCCCCAATAACTAGCATTAAAGTTTATTTAGGTAATGTTCGTCATTTCTTCCCAGCAATGTGATGTTGCTACCCTGATTAAGTGTTGCTTTGCATAACCAGTAAGAATACTTCATGCTTTAATTAAAATTACGTACTGAGAAATGCATGAGGATCCTGCCAATCCTTGATATTCAAGAGGGGATGATATAAGACGCCATGCAATTTAGCAAAGCGGATATTTTCATGAATTAAACATGTGCTTTCATTTCAAAAGAGAGCCAAATGGACATTGCACCTTGGCTCTCTCCTAATACCTAATCCTTAAAAAACTCTCACTAAATTAAAGGTAAGCATCAATGTGTTAGATCGGGTCCCTCTTGGACCGGTCCTGCCAATCCTTTCCTGGACTGGCTCTTGGGCGCTAATTTGGAGAGGATTAATTAAGATTTGTTTCCTAATTGAAGAGAGCATATTTGGGGTTTGATTTGAGGGCTGATTTGGGAGGGAAATCATTAAGGAAATATGGCATATTTGAGTGGGAATTGGGGAGGGTTGTTTGGGTATTCGTCATTTATTGTATGCTTTAAGTAGGGGGTTTTTTCTAGGGTTAGGGTTATGTGTTTTTTGCTGAAATTAGATTGTTCTTAGGGTGTTTGGGCTCAAGCCGGCATCTAGAGATTTGGGAGAGCCAAATCTTCCTCTCCAATTGAATATCCACTTGTATCTTGTATTTTCTTTCATAAAATTTTCAATAAAAAAGTATTCTTGTGTGTTTTATTCCTCATTTTCTTGTTGTTGATTTTCTGAAATTGCTGAAATCAGATTTCAGCCAAAGCTTTTCCTAAATTTTTACAAGCACTTCCTATCACAATGGCAACGAAAAAAAATAGAAAACTTAATAGCAAGAAGAAGGATATTCCAAACCAAAAATCATGATGAAAGAAAACAGAAAGGAAAATGAAGTAGATACAGCAACAGTAAGAAAAAAAACAAAGTAAAAACAACTCACTCCTTTAAAATTTTGCAACTTTTCAATACTCACTCGCTGAAGAAGTGTCCTAATGCCTAATGCAAAAATATGAGTAACTCTCTCCGAAAAACCATCTTCAACTCTAGCCCCCATTTGTGATAACTTCTGCTTCCATACCTATTATGAAATTGAATTAAATGCAAGGTATAAACAATGCCCATTCAGCAAAAAAACAAAAACGGCTTTTATGAGTAGAAAAAAGAGCAAAAAAAAATTTAATTATTATAGCTGAAACACACTAGCTATGCGATAAAGTAACCTTGAAAAGAGAACGTAATTATTATTGGGTAGAATAAAAAAGTAATACAAACCATTGCCAAAACAGAAAAAGTATAATAGACAGATTCTGGAAAATGGCCGTAGTATCTCAAAAACAATACCACATCATATTATATCAATTTGAGACACCAAAGAAAAGGTCAAGGCCTAATTTTCAAATGTCACAAAAAACCACTGTGATTACAGATCAAACTCATGTCTTCCCTTGAAGAGAACCACTCCTGCAAAACCATCCTTTTCCCCTATCAGATGAAAATCCTGTCGTTCCTTCAAGAAAATAATGGCATTTACAGTCTTGATGGAGGCGCTAGAAGAAATCATGATGCTGCAACCACCAATGGTTGGAGTACTAGTCTCTTCGTCGCAACTATAGTGATAAAAGTATTTGTTAGTAGTGGAAATAATGATAGTTACAACTAGGTATCCTTTTACACTGAAGGTCGTAACAACGTCTAAGATAGTGATAATCAAGAATGGTATAAGATATAGTGTTGGTGGGAAATTCATATGAACCTCTTCAAACTCTCTGCTTCCACAGGGGTCATCATCTTCAAGTCCCATTAATACCATGTTTGCATATGATCAGTGAATAGCAAAGTCATTATCTTGCATTTGTGGGTGCTTTGCTTTGGTCCATAGCAATCATGATTGCATGTTGCATTTACCACAACTATGCTAATGAAAACATATTATCATTAAGGTTTATATAGATTGAAGGTGCAACACAGCTTTGATCTATGTAGGCCTAAGCCACATTGTTGTTGTTGCAAGTTTAGGTCAAGGCCACGCAATTTCCTTTGGAAGCCATATGAGAAGTGTTATATATTACCTTTAATGAGAGGCAAATGTAGATCATCTTTAGTGCTTTCTTGTGACATAGGCCAGAGCTAGGTCATTTATAGTGCTTTTAGGAGAGTAGATCAAAGCAACACTTTAATAATGTAAACAAGAGCCCCGTCATCTTAAATGATTTTAAAAGAATACGATGAGTCATGACTCGTATGGTGCTGGACAACTTTAGACATCTTATGTATTTTAAGGAAAGTATGTTAGAGCCACCTTCCTTGAGGCGCAGACCAAATCTAGTTCTTCTTGAGCGTTTAAAGAGTAGTATAGGATACCTCATGGAAATGTTGGAGCCAGGCCACCCTAAGTGCTTAAAGAAGAGTAAGTTGCAACCATTCCCCCTCGTAGCACAAGTCAAAGCTTGGTTGTCTTATGTTGTTGTTAACGAGAAGAACTATAAAGGAATAAGCTAAGCCATTACCCTAGGCTACTCAGATGTGATGGTTCTCACACGTTCATAACTTATACATTACTATTAAAATTTCATCTCATATGTAAAGATTACAACAATATGTTAAAACATATTCCAGAGGGAGTTGAGCAAAATAAATTCCTTCTATAAATGCTCAAAGGTTAGTACCAAACCGACTGCCCGTCACACTGGGATTGCTAGATGTCATCCCAAGGGCACTTGTTTTCGTCGAGATTGGGTTGCTTCATGGATAGCAATGAAGGAATCCGCCTTTTCATAGTACTTCCCTATAAGTCGTCTATGTTTTTTTTCTAAAGGAGGCAAAGAGACCCATCAATCATATTCTCGAGATGAATGCGCCCTTCGGGAGCAATAAGAAGAGGGAAGTAAAAGAGAGGGACGGGAGAGAGAGGAAGAGGGGGAGAGCTAGGGAGGGAGGGAGGGATGGCGACCTTAAGCCTCTGGGACTGCATACCCTCCGGCACTAGGAAGACGATCATGCCTCGGAAAATGCCCTCGGGATCTGGCGATGGAAGCTTCCGCTTCTGCGAAGCCCTGGGGGCTGGCCATGAGAACCTCTTCCATCGAACCTGTTCTGCACTTCTGCGAGGCGCGAGAAAGATTTATGCGTGACAATAACGATAGCGCCATCGCCGCCGCATTAATAAGTGTGGACGTACTGTACGGATAATAACGATAGTGCCCTTGCCACCTTAAAATAACTGTTTTTTTTTTTTTTTTCATTTGAGCAAATTAAAATAAAACTCAGATATACCTTATATACAAAATTCGAATGTAAGAGCTCTTGATAGATAGCCTTCTCTCAATAAATAGATTAAGGTGGACTGCATGAAAATAAAAATTGTTGGGTCCTGGAGTATTCGCGATGGTAAAGAAGTATAAAGTTAAACGTCTTAGCATTGTACGAAGATCCATCACACACATAGATAAAAAGAGAGTGTAGCATTCACAAGAGACATCAAAATTTTTACGTGAAAAATCACTGAAAATGGTGAAAAATCACGGGCCTAGCCTAATTTGAATGAATCCATTATTATTTGCAGTCGATTACAAATGAGGTCCTTAGGGGGAAGGTCTTGGCTTGATGTACATTATATAAAGTACATGATAGGAATACAAAGAGTCACTGTTAATGTGTTCGTTGGGTCGGAAGGACCATAGTCGATGGGCGACATAAGTCGGAAAGACCATAGTCGGCGGGCGACGGAGGTCTAAAGGATCGTTATCTGATGACATAGGTCAGAAGGACTATAGTCGGTGGGCGACATAAATCAGAGGTCGAAAGAACTGTAGTCGGTGGGCGACGTAAGTCAGAAGGACCGTAGTAGGCGGGCGACAGAGGTCAGAAGGACTGTGGGCGACATAAGTCAAAAGGACCATAGTCGGCGAGTGACGGAGGTCAAAAGGATTGTAGTCGGTGGGCGACATAAGTCAGAAGGACCGTAGTCGGCGGGCGACGAAGGTAGAAATGATTGTAGTCGGTGAGCGACGTAAGTTAGAAGGGCCGTAGTCGACGAGCGACGGAGGTCGGAAGAACTGCAGTCGGTGGATGACGTAAGTTAGAAGGACTGTAGTCGGCTGGCGATGGAGGTCGAAAAGACTATAATTAGGTAGAAGTCTAACAATGGACAGAAAACCCAGCATAAGATAGATGTCCGACGAAAGTCCAACGACAGACAGAAGTCCGGCATTGGAAAGAAATCTTGTGACGAGCAAAGGTCTGGCGTCGAGTAGAAGTCCGACTTCAGTCGGCAGCCGGGGAGAACTCCGGCGTTAGATGGTATTCGGGAAAAACTCCAGAGTCACTTAGAGATCAGACAGAATTCCAACGTCACTTGGAAGTCGGACAGAATTCCGGTGTCAATTGAAAGTCGGGTAGAATTCTGGCGTCACTTGGAAGTCAAACAGAATTCCGACGTCACTAGGAAGTCGAACGGAATTCCGACGATGGTAAAAGAGTTTCTTCCCTCCTCTCCTTCTTCTCTTCTCATTCTTCTCTTCTTCTTCTTGCTTGGGTCCCCTCTTAAGAGAAATGATGGGCTATTTATAGTTTTTGGAGGATGGCATGACCCGTAAATAGGATGAGAATCAAGGGAAAATGTGGAGTGGTTTGGATAGACGACTGATATTGAATCCCTTAATCGTGGACCGTTTGTCAGACATTTGAAGGTATTAATGATATTGGAATTTGGCGATCTTGGGCTCGTTGGATTTGACTCATCAAGCCTCTTGATTTGACTATAAGCATGTCATGTTTGAAAACCATATGGTAATCCAAATTGTGGTTTGAACCTTCTAACAGTGCTTCGGGTCTTCGATTCGGACCCATTTGGGCTTGGATTGAGTTGAATTTGGTGTCGTTGGGTTCGTATTTTTGAGATGATCAGTTCGACTGTAAGTTTGCTGAAATCGGAGTTTAAATGATCCCATATTTAATTTTTGAAGTTTCCAACTTGATTTTTCCTCGAGATTCGTGTCCTATCAAAATAATTTTTGTATGACATATCAAAAGTCAATTTATATTTTTTTTATAATTTTCTTTTTAATATAACAATCAAAACTACTTATTATATATTTATTTAAAAATTTATGCTGATAAATAGTTCTTAATGATCAAACCTATGAGTGTGATAATTTTGCAGACATGTCCAGCTCAATATTATGAGTTAGCGTCATATGTATATAAAATATATTCTTTTATAAAAAATATCTTAATTTTAAGAAAATATTTTGAAATTTATTGATTATCACTCTTGAAAAAAAAAATCTAAATTTTAAGAAAGTTGTTGCTGAACATTTTTAACCCAAAAAAAAAATCTATAATAATCACATCAATTTTAAAAGAAGTTATATATTTTGTGTTGAATATCATTTTATTCGGTGGATAATATTGGGTCGTACTTCGTGTTACCCTTGAACTAAAGACCATAAGGTTGGAGTATGGAACTTTTATTTGGTCTGGTGACCTGACGTAGCTCTACGTTCGGACGCCACTAAAATGTCGTCATGTGTTCTTATTCTTTATTGCGCGGCCCGACAACTCAACCTAGAACGGACATGGGATTACTTTGTTCGCGTATTGCTCGGTATTGCTAAGTATTGGTTGCTCGGTATTGCTAAGTATTGGTCTTCACAGAGCGATATTTCTCGTTATTGCAAAGCAATACCTAGCAATACCGAGTAATACCTATTAATACCGAGCAATACGCGAACATAGCAAACCATACCGAGCAATACATAGTTTTTCTCGGTATTACTCGGTATTGCTCGGTATTGGTCTTAACTGAGTTGTATTTCTCATTATTGTCAAGCAATACCTAGCAATACGCAAACATAGCAATCCCGGGGTCCGGTCCGGGTCAAGTCATCGGGCCGCGCGATAAAGAGTAAGAGCACATGGCGACATGTTATTGGCATCCGAACGTAGAGCTACATCCAGTCACCTGACTTAATAATTGTTCTAGAGTATGAGGGAGGAAGAGGGAAGGTATGTCAAAGAGATATGAATTTGGATAAAATCTTTATTATTTAAGCCAAATATGCAAGAGTAATCCCATCTAGAGCTCCGCACTCTTGAGCATGATAAAAAAGGAGAAAATCATACAATATCTTGTGTACCTGATCATGTTTGTTCATATATGATGCCTCACACACTTCTTCATTTTGAATTGTTCTTGTTTCTGTCTTTGTAGGAAAGAAAAGGCTTTCTTTCACCAAGAAGAGCCCTTTTCCTTCTCTTGCTCTTTTTCTTCATCTCTCTCTCTTTTTTATACGGTTCAAAAAGATGTTGAGATTTGATACTAGATATTGGGGTTGTCCCCTTTGTCTTTTGTGATAAGTCACTCGTCGACATTGATTACAATGATGTTTGAGAGGGGCTAGTTAATTGAGATCAGATAAAGATTTGTAGTCCCCAAGATAACATGAGGGGGTGAGCGGTGTCTAAACGTAGTCTTCGGGTTATCGTAAGAGTGGTTTTCTTGAAGGGATGATGTGTGTTGCTAGCAGATTGGTTGTATCTTGCATGAGATACTTAGTTCTATCTTTGATGGATATGTCTGGCTAATAGAGAAACTTATGAGGTCGCTTTCGCTCGGTGAGGGTACAACTGCTTGGAGGTTGTGATCAGCACTAGTCTAGTGTTAAGCTCCTTTCAACTCCTGAGCGATTCCCTCGAATGAACAATTTTGAGAGACGAGACGGTCCTTCTTTGACTCGGCCAGAACATAACTTGTGAGACACCTGCCTACACAGGTAGTCATGAGTGTACATTTTGCATAATAGTTCTAAACCTATTTTAAAAATAATTATAATCACCTAAAATTTTGATAAATATATTCCATACAAATATTAAACTAAGTAATGTAAATTTTTTTTTCAATTGTTAGATTTACTATTTCAAATTATGATTGTTTTGTGCAAGAATATTTGTGGCGGCAAATATAAATTAATGTCTTAACTTTATACTAATATATACAAATAAAATAGGAGCTTTAAGAGATACAAGAGTTAAGACATGAAAGAAAAAAATTGCGAGGTCTGGCCTAGTTGACATGATTCTACTAATGCTTTAATTGTTTACAAATAATTTCCATCCTCTTGATGAGAAAGGAGCTAGTACAATATAATAAACATGCAATATGTATAGAACTTATTTTATAGTGAAAGTTTAAAAAAGCCCTATGGCTTGAGAACTATTTTTAAGATTTCTTTTGTAGTTTGTTTGATTGTTCTTATTTGTGGAAGGGGAGACGATGGACCAAGAAATCTAGTATAATTCCTAGAGTTGAGATTGAAAGTCAGAGCTAGTGTCGATGACATACACTGATATTATCGGCAATGGTGTGGAATGATAATGTTGTTAATAGTATGGGACAAAGTCAATGAACGCCAATTTAGCCAACAACAAATGTAGATGACTATAATAGTGAAATGGTAGTCTAAAGATTGTAGTCGAGTAATGTTGGTCAGAACACCAAAACAACTAGGGGTGGAGGACCAAAGTCGGGTGATATGGTCGATAAATGATAGTGCTCAGTGTACCAACTTTGAGTGATGGGTGTCAGAGGATTGTAGTTGGGCTACAATAGTCAAAGGATTGTACTTGAGTAATGTTGATCAAAAGATCATAATTGAGCAACTATGGTTGGAGGACCAAAGTCAGAATGATGGGGTCGATAAATGATAGTGCTTAGAGGAAAAAGATCCGTCAGGTTAAGATGTACATTTTTCACAATAGTTTTAAACTTATTTTTAAAATAACTATAATCACTTGAAACTTTGATAAACATATCTCAAATAATTTATAAACTAAGTAATATAATTTATTTTAGATTGTTTGATTTATTATTTCAATTTATGATTGTTGTGTGCAAGAATATTCATGGCGGTAGATAGAAATTGATGTCTTAATTTTATATTAATATATACAAATAAAAAGAGATACAAGAGTTTAAATGTGAAGAGCTCATTAAAGGAAAAAACTACGAGGGCTGGCCTAATTGACATGATTCTACTATTGCTTTCATTGTTTACAAATAATTTCCATCCTCTTGAAGGAAAAGGTGTTAGTACAATATAATAAACATGAAATATATATAGAACTTATTTTATAGTGAAAGTTTTAAAAAGCCCTGTGGCTTGAGAACTATCTTTAAGATTTATTTTGTAGTTTGTTTTATTGTTCTCATTTGTGGAAGGGGAGACTATGGGCCAAGAACTCTAATATCATTCCTAGAGTTGACGTTGAGTCAGAGATGGTGTCGACGACGTGCACCGATCTTATTGGCAATGGTGTGTAATGATATTGTTGTTGATAGTATGGGATAAAGTCCGAAAACGCCAATACAGCCAACAACAAATGTAGATGATTATAATAGTGTGACTGTAGTCTGAAGATTGTAGTTGAGTAATGTTGGTCAGAACACCAAAACTGAGCAACTAGGGGTGGAGGACCAAAGTCGGGTGATATGGTCGATAAATGATAGTGCTCAGTGTACCAAATTTGAGTGATGGGTGTCAGAGGATTGTAGTTGGGGTATAATAGTCAAAGGATTGTACTTGAGTAATGTTGATCAAAAGATTATAATTGAGCAACTATGGTTGGAGGACCAAAGTCAGAATGATGGGGTCGATAAATGATAGTGCTTAGAGGAAAAAGATCCGTCAGGTTAAGATGTACATTTTGCACATTAGTTTTAAACTTATTTTAAAAATAACTATAATCACTTGAAATTTTGATAAACATATCTCAAATAATTTAGAAACTAAGTAATATAATTTATTTTGGATTGTTTGATTTATTATTTCAATTTATGATTGTTGTGTGCAAGAATATTCGTGGCGGTAGATAGAAATTGATGTCTTAATTTTATATTAATATATACAAATAAAAAGAGATACAAGAGTTTAAATGTGAAGAGCTCATTAAAGGAAAAAACTACGAGGGCTAGTCTAATTGACATGATTCTACTATTGCTTTCATTTTTTACAAATAATTTTCATCCTCTTGATGGCAAAGGTGTTAGTACAATATAATAAACATGAAATATATATAGAACTTATTTTATAGTGAAAGTTTTAAAAAGCCCCGTGGCTTGAGAACTATCTTTAAGATTTATTTTGTAGTTTGTTTGATTGTTCTCATTTGTGGAAGGGGAGACTATGGGCCAAGAACTCTAATATCATTCCTAGAGTTGACGTTGAGTCAGAGATGGTGTCGACGACGTGCACTGATCTTATTGGCAATGGTGTGTAATGATATTGTTGTTGATAGTATGGGACAAAGTCCGCAAACGCCAATTCAGCCAACAACAAATGTAGATGATTATAATAGTGTGACAATAGTCTAAAGATTGTAGTTGAGTAATGTTGGTCAGAACACCATAATTGAGCAACTAGGGTTGGAGGACCAAAGTCGGGTAATGAGATCGATAAATGATAGTGCTCAAAGGACCAAATTTGAGTGATGGGTGTCAAAGGATCGTAGTTGGGCTAGGATTGTAGTTGAGTAATGTGGTCAAAATAACATAATTGAGCAACTAGGGTAGAAGGACCAAAGTCAGGTGATGGGGTTGATAAATGAGAGTACTTGGAGGATCGAATTTGAGTGATGGGTGACAAAGGATCATAGTTAGGCTAATATGGTCGAAGGTCCAAAGTAAGGGAATGATGGGCGGAAAACAAATGTTAGACAATAGTGGTTAGATGACCTACCAAAGTCGTGTGTTCATGATCAATTAATAGTAATCAAGTGACAATAGTTAAAGAACCACAATCAAGAAACGATGGTCAGAGAATCTTATTCAGGGAATTATGGCAGAAGTTTATTGTTAAATGCCAGTGGTCATAAGATAGTAGTCAAACGATCATGGTTGAAGGACAATAATCAAGCGACAGTGCCAACTGATTATAGTCACACAACAGTTGCTAAATGATCTTAGCCAAATAATGGTGATTCAATGGTCATAGTTAGAAGATGATGGTTAAAGGATTAAAGCTGAGCAACAAAGATTGGAGGACCATAATGGGACGACGAAATTATAGTTCTCATTATGGTGAAATGTGCCATTTGTTATATATTCACCCCAATTATTTTATGTTACCATATCTTAATAATTGAACTCTAAAGTTTTGTATAGAACCCTATGGGCTATAGTAGAAGTGGAGCACTTGCCAATTTAGAACAATAAATTATAGGACATTGCCTTTTAAGCTATTATTAATCATGTTTATTAACTTTGAATTTCAATCATTCATATTGTATACCTTTTGGTCACCATGGAACAAATTAATATATCTCAATTAAGATTGGTCATGCTTCAAAGCCTATTCAATCTAACAAGAATCCAACTTTTCATAATGGAAAATTGTGTCATTTGGTATATTACTCTAGTTTATTTGTAATATTAAAAAAGAGTACCCATTCTTGTAAATTAGTTTTTTTTTAAGTAATGGCATCAAACTCTATAACTTTAGTACAAAGGACCACTAGTTGTTCTAGGATGATGAATTATTGGAATCTTAGGCTTCGTTTCGGATGACATTCTTACTTCTTTCTAGTACAAAAAAATTTAGTTCAAAAAATTTTTGAACTAAAAAGTTGATTTAGAAAACAGTAAGAAAGTTGTCCCAAATGAAACATTAATCAGATAAACAATTTATTATGTCTAACACCTATTAAATGTTGATAACAATTTTCAAATTATAACACATGTGATGTCCTTAATTGAAATATAAATATATATTAAATTCATTATTCAAAATTAATAAATTATTTTTTTAATAAGCTTAATGCCTTCATACTTTGTATTGTATTAATGTTAAATCAGCATTTCAAAACACCAATAATTTTTATTTTTTTTTGGACTCTAATATAAATATGTGGTTTTACTATACTCATAAAAATGTATATATTTTATCTTTATTTAATAATTTTTTTCTAATAATAAAAAATAAATAAAAAAGTATATAAGATTTCCCACAATTAGGTCACCAATCCTTTCAATAGCGTCACTCTTTCAAAATATGCTAATGAGGTTTTCTCTGAATGACTACTTATCTCCACCTCGCCGCCGCCGCCGCCGCCGGCAGAGGCTGCCCCACGCCTGTTCGCTCACTCCTTTCCCGCTGCTCCTCCCTCCACCACCTTCAACAAATCCATGCCCACCTCACCACCAACCCCCTCCTCTCTCCCGCCCCTCTCCTGCACTCCCTCGTCCGCTCAGCCGCAGCCGGCGGCCATCTCAACTACGCCGTACACCTCCTTCAGCATTTCAGACCATCATCCCCAATTCCTTGGAACTTCCTCATCCAAGCTCACTCCAAATCCCCAAGCTCCAGAGAATCCATCCGCCTATTTCGCCTCATGCTCGCCCTCGATTCCGTCTCCCCTGATAAATACACTTACACGTTCATTCTCACCTCCTGCTGCCGCGAACCTTCTCCATTAGCCGGGGATGCCTCGCACGCCATGGCGCTGAAATCCGGGTTCGCGTTCGATCTCTATGTAGCCAATTCCCTTGTAAACATGCACTCGGAATTTGGCCGGCTATACTCTGCGCAGAGGGCGTTCGAGGAAATGCCGCTGAAAGATAGCATCTCCTGGACTAATCTTATCAAGGGATATGCAAAGCAGGGAAAAATGGATGTTGCCCGTAAACTGTTCGATGAAATGCCACATCCAAATGAGGTCTCATGGGTTATCCTGATTGCAGGCTATGTAAATGTTGGAAACTACCATGATGCAGTAAAACTGTTTAATTACATGTTACAGAGCTCAAATGATCGGCCCAGCGAGCCGGTTCTTGTATCGGTATTATCAGCCTGCACTCATATTGGGGCTTTAACCCAAGGAAGATGGATTCATGCTTACATTGATAAGATTAATCTACCAATGACTGTCAATATTACAAATGCTCTTATTGACATGTACTGCAAATGTGGAATCATAGATTCTGCAAAAGAAGTATTTGGCCTGGCTCTGGAGCGAGATTTGTTGACATGGTCTTGCATGATCTCTGGGCTAGCACTCCATGGGAGCGGCGTTGAAGCTCTCAAGGTTTTCCATGAAATGGTTGCATATGGTGTTCAGCCAGACAACATTGCAGTTCTTGGGGTTCTGAATGGATGCAGTCATTCTGGTCTGGTTGATGAAGGCTGTTCTATATTTTACAGGATGAGTCAGTCATGGGGTATTACTCCAGAGATAGAACATTATGGGTGTTTGATTGACCTCCTTGGCCGCGCCGGTGAGCTGCAGAAGGCACTCGGGATCATTTTCAAGATGCCAATTGAACCAGATATCATCATATGGAGATCACTCCTCAGTGCTTGTAGAAATTACAGGAATGTAGAGCTTGGGGAAAGGATTCTGGATCAGATTGTTCGATTGGACCTCAGAAAACAAGGTGGAGGGCACTTGCTTGTTTCAAACCTGTATGCAGCAGCTGGCAGATGGGAGAAACTGGCTAAACTGAGGAGCAGAATAAGAGATGAGGGTGAGGTGCAGAAACCAGGTTGGAGCTGCATTGAAATTAATGGAGAGGTGCATGAATTCGTAGCTGATGATCGTCTTCACCACCAGATTGTCGATATTCGTCGTAAGCTGAACGAAGTACTGAGGGAGGTGGCTGAAAAGGGAGGCTATGTTGCTAATACAGAACTAGTGTTGTTTGATTTGAGTGAGGAGGATAGGGAGCAGGCTGTACACTTGCACAGCGAGAAGCTTGCTGTGTCCTTCGGCCTCATGAACATGGCAGCAGGGTGCTCCATTCGCATAGTGAAGAGCCTCAGGATTTGTGAAGATTGCCATTCAGCAATGAAAGCTATCTCCTATGTTTTTGATAGGGAAATAGTGGTGAGGGACAGATCTAGATTCCATACTTTCAAAGAAGGGAGGTGTTCCTGCGTGGATTATTGGTAGCGAGGAATAAAGTGTGGCATACATAAAAGATATCATATAATTGGATACATAATCATAATAGGTTACTTGTCTTATTGACAGTTTTGTACATTTACAAATTGTTAGTTCATTGAATCAGGATTGTTTTTCAGCTGTAATTTCATGCATCAATAGATCTGTACAAAGCAATATATCAATACAAAAGCACTGGAAAGGATTCCAGCAAATATATGGTAACAGCTACTTGCAAATGAAAATGAAAATAAAAAAACACCATAAACAGTTATAACCTTTCATATCCAACATATTAACAAAATTACCTCCTTTATTAGACAAAGAGGTATATGTTCCTATCACCTCTTCCAAGCAATAGTTTTGGACATTCTTCCTCTTAATAGAAATATGAAATAACTCAAAACGCTCAGGCCTCGTCTTGATATCCGGTAAGCAGATTCTCAGACACAAATAGACAGACTCGTTGACGAACATAAAACAAAAAAACATACAAAAAGGAACAGCTCAGTACAAAAATTGACCTCTAAAGAGAACATTCAAACACTCGCTATGTTATTTTCTTGAAAATTTGCTATGATATTTTCTCCTGTGTGGTTCTCAGTGTTCTCAATAGGCTCTGGTACCTTCACACGGGCTCTTATTTCTTCATGCTTCCCTCCAAACTGGCTGAAATTTCCCTTGGACTTGAAGAGTTGATTGTGATGATGCTTGCAGTAGAGCTTGCCATCGTGTGACATGTAATTGGAAGGACTGATAGTGCATCCTCCATGGGAGCATTTGAAGCATGGCCTGTGGTATGAAGTTCCATCAACTGCTACCTGGAAGAAAATAAGAAACTGCTAAAACTAACTGGGAGAAGATTTCTTGGCGCTAAAACTTAAACCAGTTTGTTCATGCAAAACATGCAAGTTTAGAATGTTAAGTAGAATAATGAAAGATTTCATGTAGAGGCTAACACCAGGCAGTATCACCCTGTGCAATGTTGCTTAATAAATGGACAGTTAGCAAGCGGGTAGGTTAATCTGCCTATCAGCAGCAACTTTTGCAAGATGTTGCCGAGCCAAAATGACCCTCTAAGTCTGTTTGAGGGAGGCAATGGCACTCAGAACCGCCGGGTTTTCTTCAGGTTGCAGCCTACATGTTTCTGACTTTCCATTCTCTCCTGCTTCATTTAGTATATTCATTAAAGTTCTTTTCTTTCTGTAGTGATCAACCACCCCTTCATAGGAATCCTCCCAAAGAGTAAGGGACTCTTTGGTAAATCAACCCACAGTTTGTTGTTCTAATTCAAGATTTTGTTTTCTAATTAAGATTTAGGTAAATCAACCCTTCTTCAACAATCTATTGTGCTAATTCAAGATTTTATTTTCCTCCTTAATTCAATTATCCAATCAAAATTAAGGAAAATGTTAAACTACAATGAAAATGAGTACTATCTACTAAGGTTAAATAGTGGAACCAATTATGCTTTAAGAAATTAATTTAATTGATCTGGAATTATTTAAGAAAATCTTTTATGACTCTTGTAAAGTATAGTTTAAAATTTGGAATTTTGCAATTGCCTACAAATTAGTTTATGAAGAGATTCCATCGCCAACACTTCTTGAATGGCTCCATTTTGAAATTATTACTATTATGCTAAATAAAGAGCTTATGAGTTTCCTTCCATCATTTATAAATGTGTCACATTCTATTACATCTTTTAGTGATCATATACGTGAGTCATATGTTGACTATAGTAATGGAGCTAACATACAAAATGAAAAATTGAGTATTGTTATGATTGCTCATCATAGTGCTTTGAGATTATTTATAATGAAGGACATTATATTTTTGTATATCTATCCTTACAGGTTACTTACACGGCTTGATAATACCTATCAGACCCTATGCATTTAATGATATTATTAGGAAGCTAGGAACCTATGCATAAGTATCTATTTTGCTCATAATTATTAATTATAATTTATATATTAAGGATTTATTATCTAATCTTACATTACTTCTAAATGAGTTTATATATAATCCTTTAATATTACATCCTCTAGTCCATTACAAGTAGCATTCGTTGATAGGAAGTGGATGCAATTTCAACAAAATCAGAGAATGACATAAAATTTAGGAAGGACACACAAGATCTATTTTTTATTGAAAGAACTAAGAAGAAAAATACAAGATACAGTTGAATTTTCAATTAGAGAGGAAGATCTGGCTCTCCCAAATCCCTAGCTATCAGCTAGAGCCCACTCAACTTAAGCAAAACCAATTCCAGCAAAATCAAACATAATCTGAAATTACCACATAGTTAGCCTTACATAGGCTTCCCTAATTCCCTCCCAAATCAGCCCCCTTTCGCTAAATAATTCCCTCTCATATTTGAATTCAAATTAGATCTCTTTCCCTAATTAATTCATTCCCAATTATAATTAAAGCTTTCCTAAACAATTCCCCCCTTGATTCCTCACATAGTAAATATTAACTCTCCTAAGTTTTCCCTAAATAATTCCCTCTTAGATTTGAAATTCAAATTAGATTTCTTTCCCTAATTCATTCCCTCCCAATTATAATTAAAACTTTCCTAAATAATTCCTCCTCTCTTCTTCCCCGCCACCCACCCTAATGGGGCCCACCGCCAATCCATCATCCACCTTCTAGGATCCATATCATGGATCATGACATTTATTTCAAGGTTATTATCATCATCAACCTTTCTAATAAAGTGTGATAAAAATTGGGGGAATTGATGCGTGTACATAATCACAGTCATTCTAGATTATCTCCTAGGTTAGTGATAGTATGAATAATATAAATCATTTATACAATTTCAACCACTCAATCAATATAATTTTAGAAATTGCATTGCCTATTCTTTTATATCTTACATGTGTTTTTCATAATTATAGGAAATATTTTATTTTATATCTTCCATATTTCATCTTTTATTAGTGTCATTCTAGTAAATTTGTTAATAATTTATTAGCCTTTCTTAACATTGTGCTATCCATCTCTTAGCAATTAATAAGCAATTTATTAGTAGTTTATTATTTCTATCATCTATAAATTAGAGAATTCTAAGTCAAGTATAATCAATTATGATATTAATAAATTTTTATTATACATATGGACCTCTTCTTCTTCATCCATTATGGGAATTTAATCCTTGATCTTTTGTGAGACATAAAATCCTTCGAGGAGAGCAATGTCATCGTTCAAATCTAAGGCTTCATTTGGGACGGCTTCCTTCCTGCTTCTTAAAACGGCTACTTAGTACAAAAAATTAATTTTTTGTATTAGAAAACCGTTTAAAGAAACAGTAAGAAAGCAGTCCCAAATGAAGCCTAAGTCATGCTATCTTGTTACTTTTCTCACTTTCCTTATATCATTTCCTTGTTTATTATGTTTTCTAAATTTTTCAACATTGTCCTGAATAACATGTACGCTATGTAAAATGATAATTTAGAGTTTGATAATATTGTATGTCCTATGAGGCTTGTTTGCGCACAAGGCTAAGCCTAAATTTTCTGCCAAACCTGAAACATCAATCCAAGAACCAACCAGGTGATTTAGTCTATTGCAGTCCAAGGATTTTTGTTCCATAAAGCATAAAATTAAAGAATTAAATCATGCAAGCTTTCAATAGATAAGTTTTCATCTTTTTTCACAATATGGTCTTTTTTTTTCAGAAAAAAAAAAAGTATTTAGGTCCATACTTTCATTCGAAACATTGCATGTGAACCACCTAATATTAGTGAAATCTTTCTATGTATCCATTTTTATTTATTCTCTTAACCTGTAATGCTAAACTGTAACAACTAAACCCGGGTCCCCTTTGTAAGGGCTGAGGTTAGATTTCTTATCATATCCCATGTTGTGTGTTAACCATCATTCAGAGCTGGGGGCTGTGATACTGGGCATGGTTGTCAAGCAGAAACAAGAAGCAAAGCATCAGGTAAAGACCAACACTTTGAAGATATTTAAACAGTCAAAGAAAAATTTAAAAAAAAAAAGCCTGTGAAGTTTTTAACGAATTGAGTTTCACAGGAGTGTCAACAAAGAGAAGAAAAAAGAAGCAGGTTCGAAGCTTTAATTCTACAGTGCAGATCGGCCTGGACGATCTCCAATCGGCCCGGACGATCCTGGGAAAAATATTCACTGGGCAGCTACAGCAACAGCAAAGGAATGAGGTCTCACATGAAGTTCTTAACGAATTGAGTTTCACAGGAGTGTCAACAAAGAGAAGAAAAAAGAAGCAGGTTCGAAGCTTTTATTTATTATTTTCCTGGGAATGGTTTGTAAGTATCTAAATATAAAATATTAGTCAGGTCCAAATATCCAACCTTTTCTACCACAGATTAGCTTATTCCACTTAAAAGACAAATATATTGCAGTAAGATATTCACAACCCTTGCAAAAGGAAGCAATTCAGTTGCCACTTTTTTTTTTTAAAGAGAACCGCATAAATCAACACTAACAAACATCTTCTCATATAAGTTATTTCCTCAAAGAAAAAAAAAACGAAAAAGGAATAAAGAAAATTTTGAAATGACCCACTAAAAGCATTCCCTAGGTACCAACATCTACAATATTTGCATAAGATTTATGTTGAAGGATTTGTGTGACTCACAAGTCAACCAAACTTGATAGAAATCCTTGAGCATAGAAATTAAGAGTTCTAGCCATTAGATTGATCCTCTTATAGCCCCTAAATTGCAATCTATATGCCTCATCTTTTTATTCTAACAGATTTTTTTCCTTTTTGTTATATAGCTTTGATTTATTTTAATTATAAGCCTTTTAGAGATATCTATAAATACTTTTCACACTTTGAACATAATCAAACAATAAAATTTAATTTAATTTAATTTTTACTTTTATTTTTACATGGTACCAGGGAAAGATTAGAGTTTCGTTCTCCCAACTTTTATTCTTTTTTTCTTTCTCCCTTCTTGTTGAGATTCTTCCTTCTATTCATTATAACTAGTTTATATGACTTATATTCCAACAAGTTGACCATCATAATGGTAAAAATCAAAGAAAAACTCCAGGGGCTATAAGCCTCGTGACGCCTAAATGAGAGTAATTATATAAAATGGTCTCAAATTGTGAAAATATTTCTTAAAGAAATAAAAAATATTCATCCTCTTATAGATCCTCCTCCAAAGTCGAATGACAAAAATTTTTTACATTGGGATGAATTTTAAAAAAAGCCTGTGATGTCGTCAAATAAACGTATTGAGCTTCCAACAATTAAGCAAGATAACAATCTTGTTATTGTGTACTTTGATATAATAAAGGTTTATTGGTCTGAACTAGATTATTACCAATATCTCGTGATGACATGCTACTATGATACTATAAATCTCAAATAATTTGAATTTCTTGCAGAAATCAATAATAACTTCGACCAAATTCATAACCAAATCTTAAGCGGACAAAACCTATCATCACTAAATGATAGTTTTTTCTCTAGGAAAAAAGAGAAGGTAATTCTCAAAGCTTTAGTCTTTGAAACACCTGTCATGACAATCAATAAAACCAAATGTAAGAGACTTACTACTGCAGTCTGCAGACTTCTTCATAAAAGCCAGGCAAAAATCTTTTTTTTCAATACAATCTATGGTGCAACAACTACAAGAAATAATTATACATCAAAGAAAAATGCCAGAATCTCTATGAAAAGCACCTAGGCTATTGTAGAAATAAAGAAAATCGCTAAAAAAGCCAATCCTACCTTATGAAATCAAAAGAGCTTAATCCAGAAGAAATTGACAATGTCATAACCTCAATTCTCTAGAAAAATCATCAAGATTATGCTCTCTAGCTCAAAATAATATGAGCTCTAACTCTTGCATTTTCAATATCTTTAAAATTTTCCCTTACGCATGGATCCTAGATTCAGGAGCTACTAACCAAATGACGAACCCAAACTTTTTTCAAATGTACAAATCCTATCCTAGCAATATAAAAATAAAATGATCGATGATTCTCCACCAATTAGTTTAAGAGAATATTTCTTTTTTTTTCATATTGAATCTCAATAATGTACTAAATGTTCTTCAGCATATAACAAATCATCTATCAATCCATAAAATCACTAAAGACCACAACTACAAGATAATATTCTTTATTGATCATTAGGCGTTTTAGGATCTTTCCACGGGGAAGATGATTGGGCAAGGGCAAACTAGAGAAAAGAATGGGCTATATATCTTCTTGAAAATAGAAATCACTTGTACCGTTCCTATATTTTCTCTCTCAGTATAGAAACCATTTGAGAATAGCATTATAGACAAGGGCATCCCCTCTTTCAAAACTTTATAATAAATGTTTCATTTTGATTTTTAAATGTAAACATAAAAAAAAATTATTGTGATACTTGTGAAATTGTCAAATATCTTTGTGTTGTTTTTCCTGAATGCAATTCTAAATTTTTTATTCATTTTCTAATTATTCACTTTGACATTTGAGGAACTTCTAAATCCCTAATATTATTGGAGTCATAGGATTGATCACCTTCATTGATGATTGCACTCAGATGAAATAAGTATATCTTATCAACAAAAATCTGATATTAGTATAATTCTCCTCAATTTTGCTACCATGATACAAAAATAATTCCATACTAACATCAATATATTTCAGGATGATAGTGCTCGTGAGTATTTTAATCACATAGTATCATCATTTTTTCAAAAAGAAAGTATCATGCACTAATCGTCCTATGCTGAAACTCCCCAACAAAATGCAATAGAAAAAACCTTCTTCTAGAAATCATCAAAACTTTATTCTTCCATAAATAAGTGACAAAAAGATATTGGGGAGAAGTAGTCTAACTGTCACATATCTAATAAGAAGAATACCCTATGTGATTAGCTTCAAAAGTCATAAATTATATGGCTGAATTTTTCTCAACAAAAAATTTCTCTTAAAATTCCTGAAAAACATTTTTGGCGCGGGCGCATTGCTTATGTCCACAACTACAAACAATTAAGGATAAACTTGATCATAAAGCTCTCAAATATGTCTTGACATTCCTCCACTCAAAAATGATATAAATGTTATCACCGTGCCACGAAAAATTTCTTACTTCAAAAGATGTGACCTCTAATGAGAAAAAAAGTTATTTCAATGAAATGCATCCTCAAGAGAAGAACTTCCAACTAAAAAATAAGTTTAATAAAACATATATGCTTCATCTTGATATCCCTACAATAAAATTCAAATAAATCCAAACACTGTACCCCTTCAAGTTTATGAAAGAAGGAATAAGTACAGCCAAAATCTCAAGCAAACTTAGGACTTGAAACAATTATTAGATAATAACGATCAACTCATTACTATATACTCTCCTCTACATCCCATCTCTCAGTACATATCTCTTCAAATTTTTTTTTCTACCCATAAAACTTTCTTTATAAATATCAACTATAATTTCATTACAATAACACAAACTTTATTTGAGACACTTGAAAATAAAAATTAAAAGATTACAATGGCATAAAATATGAATGCTCTTACTAAAAATTACACTTTAGATATCATTAAGCTACCAAAGGAGATGAGAACGATAAGAAGAAACTAGATTTTTTATGCAAAATATAGAGCAGATAGAAGTCAAGAATAGTATATAGTGAGATTGGTAGCTAAAAGATATACAATTTTTCATATAATTACCAAGAAAATGTTTGTTCCTTATACAAAAATGAATACAATATATATCTTAATTTCTGTTACAGTTAGTCGTGGATAGTTCATACACTTGAAAATAAAAATTGGAAGAATATCATGAGATAAGAGATGAATGTTCTTAAAACAGATCACTTTGGATGTCATTGAACTACCAAAGGAGAAGAGAACGATAGGAAGCAAATCTATTTTTTATGTAATATATAGAGCAAATAAAAGTCTGGAATGGTATAAAGTGAGATGGTAGCCAAAAGATATACTCATTTCTATATAATTAACTATCAAGAAAATGGATGGTACTTTTAAAAAAACAAATACAACATGTATCTTAATTTCTCTTGCAGTCAATCATGGATGGTTCATGAAGCAGTACGATGTAAAGAATGTTTTCCTATATGAGGATGTTAAAGAAGCCTATGGATCCACCACCTTTATTTGATAGTTCTTCACAGATAACGAAGTGTGCAAATTAAAAAAGGATCAATATGATATTAAACAATCTCTGAGGTATGAAAGAAGCTGGATACGAACAAAGCCAAAATGATCATAACATCTTCATAAAATACTTCATTGATGGTAAAATCTCAATTTTCCTTACAAATACTAATGATATAATCATCACTAATGATGATAATATAGAAAATGAGTCTCCAAGAAAAAAGCTTGTTAAAGAATTTGAAATCAAAGTGTTGGGCAAACTGAAATAGTTCATGGGAATATAAATTGTTCAAACATATTAAGCAATATTCTTCTCTCAATAAAAATATGTCATGAATCTATTGAAAAGAATAAAAATAGCTCATTGCAAATTTTATGACACCCCAACAAAATTATATAAAAAATTAGACACACATGAAGAAAGAAAAGGGATAGACACGGGGTAACATCAAAGATAATTTGAAAAAAAAAATGATCTATCTCACACCCATATAGACATCACATTAGCAAAGAGTCTTATCATTCAATTCATAGAAAAGCCAAAGAATCAAATCTTCAAGCTACTTATAGAATCCTTCAATACTTTAAATGAAGTCCTTATAAAGGAATTCCCTAAAAAAATATGATACTTTACAAACTAAAGAGTATATTGATGCAAATAATGTAAGATCATCAGTTGTTAGAAGATCCACATATGGGTATTGTACCTTTTTTTTTAGGAAATCTCATAATATGGAGAAGTAAAAAACTACCTGTAATTTAAAGATCTATCACTGAATCTGAAATTAGAACACCATTGTCTAAGAAATTTATGAACTTCCGTTGATCAAAATCATTTTAAAAGATTTAAAAATTAAATTAAAATGACAAATAAAGATATATTGTGACAATAAATATATCATCAGCATTACTCATAATCTAGTACCAAGAACTTGAAGTTAGATAAACATTTCCTAAAAGAGAAACAAGAAAGTGGGTTATCAGTACTCTATATTTTCTAACAAAAAATCAATTTGCGGACATTTTCACCAAATGACTTTACAATCCTGTGTTCAAAAATATTGTAAGCAAACTTGTAATGGTAGATTTACACTATTAGGCTTGGGAGGGAGAGTTGAAGGAACATGGGACACACAAGTCAACCAATCTTGATAGGGATACTTAAGCAAACTGATTAAGGGTTCTAGGCTTCTAACTATTTAATCAATCATCTTATGGCCCTTAGATTGCAATCCATATGCCTCCTCTTCCTATTCTAGTAGTTGATTCCACTTGGGGACTTTTTTTTTATTATAACTTCAATTTATTTTCATTATAAACCTTTTGAAAAGGTCTATTAAAACTTCTACATTTTGTGCAGAATCAAGCAATAAAATTCAAAATAACAACGTCAATTTAGTGTACCTTCTCAATAGGATACACAGTTTTCCTGCACACTACACACTTGTCCTGCGTCCCAAGAAAGATACTTGAAATTCTGCTATTTGCTTGGCCCTGCAAAATAAACTCTAGAAATTATTCCCCATAGCAAATGAAGTGCAGATAAAGATGGAGTTTACTATCACAGAATATTAATGTATACTGATTAATTGTCAAGATACCTCACGATCAGTTTGCCTTTCTGCCCTAGCAAACCTTGGAGCGCCTAGAAAAAAAAAGGAAAGAAGGAAAGATAAATACTTATCCTTAACTTCCAATGTGATAAAATATCAAATTACTTGCATCTACCTTCAAAACTCTTATCCAAACTTCCAGTCATCTTAAAAAGCTGATCATAATGAGGCTTACAATAGAGAACACCCTCAAAGGAGCTGTAATCGCTGAGCTGCATTATGTTGCCGAGCCAATAAGTTACAAGTTCATATAATGTCAGATTATACAGACACAAAACAAGATAAATATGACTGTTTCTACTTCTAAGCGAATCATCATTTTTAGAATAAAAATACAAAAAACAACTTTTGCGTGTTAGAAAGAGGAGAAATTATTACGTGCGGAGTCTGGATATGTCTGGACTCCAATAAAAACATGACATGTGTCCTTGTACACAACGTGTATAACTGTACACACTATATACAAATTATAAAATTATGTACATAGTGTGTACAAATTTATATGCATAATATACACACTATGTACACATTGTGTACAATGACACATATCACGCTTTTATTTGGAGTCCGGACGTGACTCTACGTCTAGACTCCGCACGTAATAATTTCTCTAGAAAGAGAGGAGTGACATGAAGCTCAAATTTTATATCAAGAAGAGTCAGAGAGACACCTACCCATCTCATGTTTATAACTGAGTTTCATATGTGGGGTTAGAGAGAAAAAGACCAACCGTGAGTCAGGTTATAGAAAGCTTAAAGAAAGCATGAGAAAGCAAATGCCAGTGCTAAAAAAAAATTGTACTGGTCATGTGCCCGCCTTATCATTAATAAAATATCTATAATAGATTTCAATTCTTAAAAAGAAAAGTTATCAAATATGAGATATTTTAAAGGTAGCATGCATAAGCTTGAAGCTTCGTTTGGAATGACTTTCTTACTTTCTAATAAAAAAATTTTAATTTTTGTACTAAAAAATTATTTTAAGAAACATTAAAAAGTAGTCCCAAACGAAGCCTGAGCCTTGGAACCATAGCTTCAACTTGTAGATGCCTCTGTTGCACAACTTAATGAAAATCCTATAAAGAATGACTTACACAAAATTTCATCCCAATGATTAGCGTTAGTCCAATCAGCTTGGGAGTTTTCAAAGTAAAATAAAGAATGCAATACAAGGAAGATAAAACAGAAATTGTAGAAAGGCAAGTAAATCCAATAGCTCGAGTTGCATGAAGCAAAAAAAGTAAAATAAAACTCAAATACAGATTATGGACAGCCTTAACTCTTCGCACCCAAGTATCCAACTTACTTTTGATTTTTACAGCCATGAAACTAGTTCAACTGTTCATAAAGCTGGAAGAACTTAACAAGCATGATCATAATTTGCAGTCTCCACATAATCAAATCCATAGAAGAATCCGAGTAGCATCTATCTCATCTACTTTTTGCAGAAGAGGGTATCACACAAAAAGAAGCCTGTTTTTCCTATCATAAACCGATATCACACAGGAAAAGCCTACTTTTCAACAGAGCATTATCCAAGATTCGTTTGGACTGAAACAAAATTTTTAAACATGCCTAGTTCTGGCTTTCTCTTTCTTAGCAAACAAAAGCATGAGGGATTAGTAATACTGAGAACTTAATCACAATTTTTTTTATCTTCTTGCAATTAATCCATGAAATTATGCAAAGCACAGTGTTTGCAGTAGATCTCAGGTAATACAACAAGATAAATTAGCTCAAAAAGCAACCAAGGAAGAGAGCCTAAAAGGAAACCCACCCTTGATAGCAATCATCTTAAGGGCGAAGAAGCCAGACGATTTAATAAACCAGTAAAGGAACGATCATGCCATCTAGCGCAAAACTACATAACCCCAACTAATATATGCGAAATCAAGCACAAAACAAAGAAAAGAAGTCAAATCCGTAAGAAAGCACCAAAAATATAAAAAAATGCCACCAAAACATGATACCCTATACTATCCATCAACCATCAAATCACCATATGCTTGCTTCATCAAAACCTCTGATCACACAACAGATCCCTTCGAGTTCAATAAGGAAAAAAAGTTAAAAATTGGTGTATAAATAGAAATAAAGGACGAAAGCCACAAAGCTGCAAGGCAAACAGATGGGGGGAGAAGAAGACGATTGATAAATAAGAAAGGAAAGAGGTTAGTGATGAAGACCTTCAGCGTTCTCTTGCAGTGGTGACAGCGAAAACAAGCCTTGTGGAAGAAGCGGTTATCTGCAACGAGCTGGTCCACCAAGTAAACCGTCTTTCCGCACGCCGTGCATTTCTGCGTCGTTCCACCGAACGCCGACGATGCCATGTCCGTGATCTTCGCCGGAGCAGCTCCTCTTCTTTTTCGGAAGCCGCCGGCTTCTGGCTCCGAAGACTCGGAGAAGACTAGAAGTGAGAAGAGAAGAGGAAATATATCGGAGACGAGTTCGCCGGAGAATAACGGAAACAGCAACTTTTCGCTTTACCCATCATAAATAAGAAGTTTGTGTGCGGCAAGATATGCAAATAGGAATTTACATCCATACCCCAAAAGCTTTAATAAATTTACATATGTAAAACTTATATTTTAATATTTATTTATAATAATAATAATTTAGCATATCAAAATATATTAATAAGAAATACATTTGACTTTAAAAAATAATATCAATAATACTTTTGAAGTGATTTAAAAATTAATTATTATATTTTAAGTAATAGCTATTTTAATATATATGCATGATAATAAATGATAATATATATGCTTTGTATCACAACCCAACTCAACATAACATGTATATCTTAACCGGTCATATTAGACCAAATGCGTGATAAAGGATTTGCCTAAGCTCTTTTATTGGAGATAATTTCTTTTCATAATCTAAATTTTACAAAATAGAGCTACTAGACTACTTATACAAAAAATTAAAACAAATCATCATTTTGTACATTTATATATATAATTCATAATTAACTTCATTAAAAAAATTATGTGCAACAATCATGGATTTTTCCAATAAGTTCATCATATGAATTACAATATCCTATGATTTCAAAAAAATCCTTCTATAACATAAATTAAAGGTACATCAACTGCAACTCACAGTCTTATTCGTCTAGGGTGTTACTTATCCCTGTAATATGTAAACATACATAGATTGAGTGAACAACTCAATAGGTTACATGAAACCTATAACTGTATTTAATACAATGAAATTAAACAATATGCTTACTATCAGTATAAATATTAAACATATGTTGAATCCGTAGATCTATGTCATTCATATATATGCATCATATGCAATATCATATGAATAAGTGGTTTCTCTATGCTACTCATGCGTTCATATTATACGCAGTGCAATCACGAACAAGATTATATTCTAAAAGCATATGTCATGTGTGCCACTATGTCATGTTAAAATGTTTATATAGTTTTCTTCAATCATAAAATATGTTATAACATCATCACATATGCTATGCAATTCAACACTTCATGGGTTCTCATTAAGCATGCTATATTATATAGGATATATAACATGTCATCATATCACATCAAAGTTGTTCTAAGCACTTTATGTCAACATGTATAACAATATGTCATCATATACATACATGAATATATGTAGAATAGGAATTCTAATTATTTATATCATATCATATGGCTTCTTTATTATCATTTATAAAAGACAAGTGCTATAACATGTCATGTTACATCACACACACACACACATAAGTAAAAAATTCTAGCTAATCATATCAATGTGGTATTTTCTCTCGTACCAATCATGTGAATCAATATCATGTCATATCATCCGTGAAATTGTCGTGTAGCATGATATATAGGAGTTGTCAATTCGATGAATTCTAACCTTTTTAGAGTTTTTAATATTTTAGGAAATTATTTTTGGCCATCTAGTTTGTTTTGTTGTCTAAGTTTTTCAATTAAGTGGGTGGAGTTAGATGCTTAATAAACTTAATTTATTTCTAGGTAAGAATCTCTAGCACATTACCTTTGGCTTACATCTTCTTCCCTTTTTTTTAATTTATTTCATTTAAAATGAATAAAAAGTCAGAGTTAGGTTATTTAATTGTTAACTATTACAAAATATATTGCCAATATTCTAAGATAATAAAATATTATCAATAATAAATTAAAATTTAATTTTATATTTCATTAGGACTAAATAGAAATTAAAAAAAAAAAAAATATTTCAATATTTCTTAAATAAATTTAAGTAATTCTTAATTACATGAAAATCAAAGCTCAAATATAAAATTATAAATAAAATAAATTTATATTACTTCTAATTTCTTTCAACCCAAACAACCTTTATATTGTTGAGAATAACTTTACTAATGAACCATTTATTACTCATGCTTCTTTTGCAACAGCTTCCTTACCGCTTGTGCTAAAAAAATATTTTAAGAAGCAAAAAAAAAAATCATCTAAAACAAAGGTTTCGTTTGGGACGGTTTTTTCGTTGCTTCTTGAAGCAGCTTTTTAGTACAAAAAAGTAATTTTTTAACTAGAAAGCTGCTTCTAAAAGCAACAAAAATACCGTCCCAAACGAAGCCAAAATCTTAGCAAATAAGGTGGTCTCAAAGGCTTTTGTATGATGACTTTTTGGCTGCTTAATATTATTGTTATGTCATTTCAAAAAATGGTTATGAGAATTGGAGTTCCCCTCTATTGTTTTCTTATAGCATTTTTGTATCTTCTCTCAAAAGTAAAGTTGATTAGAATATTGATTGAGATATGAAGTTTTTTTTTATCCGTTGGTTAAGAGTTTATGAAGTTTTTATTTAAGAGATTTTGAGTTCTAGTTTTTTTTTTTTATATATGTTGTGTGTATTTTTAAAAAGGGTATAAAGTATTTTAAATATAGAGAAATATTAGTGTTTGGTTTAAAGTAAATCAGATGCAGTGAAAAACTTTGGTGTATTAAAAATTCACCATCTAATTTTTTGGAGTGTATTTGAAATTAGTCAAATTTGAATGATTTTCAAATACATTAGAACTTCATTGCCTACTGTCGTCTACCGCAACCGCTACAACCGTTGTCGCCGGCCACCTGTCGACTGAGCGCCATTGCCGCCGACCCCCACTATTATTGGCCATCTCCACCACCATCACCGCCGCCTGCCGCTTGTCGTTGCCACAAACCGCTGCCAGTAGCCACCACCAGCCGCCACCATTGAGTGCCACCACCGCCGAGCACCACAGGTCATACTTTACACTATATTCTTTTCACTTCAATTCAAAAAAAAAAAAAAATCACCACAATTATTTTATACACATTCAAATAATTTTAAAATATTTTAAATATATTGCATTACTTTTACACTACATCTTTTTTACAATGTTTTTTTTTTTTTCAGCCAATCAAATAGCTTCTAAAAAAAAGGGTGAAGTAATATCCCCTTCGTCTTTTTTTCAAGCACATTTATAATATGAATATTATTTGAAGACCGATTAATTCAAGTAGTTTGCACTCTTCATCAATGCAGAGCTACTTATAGTTTTATATATGGTTGAGAGGTGTGATCCTATAGAGATTATTGGATCCGGACATCGGACACAGCTTACCGTTCGGTACTTCACAGTACCGAGTAATACTGAAGTCGGTACTGTGAAGTACCAAGCTCAGTACCGAATACGAGGTGATGTGGCGCATTTTTATTGGGCTCGGACGTCGTCTAGTGTCTGAACCCAATAATTTCTCGTGATCCTAGGCCCTATTTTGTGGCCAATGGCTATCTCAGGCGTAACTAGCATCATGACTTTGTTCAATAAAAATCCATGGGGTGTATGCTAGGATTTATAATTCTATGCAGAGTACGGAGGGCAGACCAATAAAAATGTGTCACGTCATCTCATTGCTGGGTACCCAGCTTGGTACCCGCACTTGACACTCCTAGGTACCGCTGGGTACCCAGTACTTAACCAGACGATTCTCCCATCCGGTGTTCGTCCATAATAAATGCTCGTATGCTAGGCTGGCTTTTGACCATCCATTTGCACTTTAATCAAATTTGCATTAATATTTCTGTAATGCAAATATGCAAAGTGTGAAGGACTCGTTCGAAAAAAACAAACAAAATTTAATGCAGTTCTATTACTTTTAGGCGCCGCCGCTTTATTTGACGGCTCCGTTTTGTTCTTATTTGTTCTCCAAATGCCATCAGTTTTTCTTTTTTTTTGTCCCATATTGCTACTCCTAGATCTGTGGAAAGTGTGTAGTGTGTACGAGTTGATTGCGTTGAGCACCGATCTCAATGCATATCTAAGGGTTGTAAATTTCTTAATCTTCAATTGATGAACTAGCCGATGCATACAAAATTCAACGGTTGTTGGAGGACCAGTGTGGACCGGCAGCCGGGCCGGCGTAATGGAAAAGTGAGCCGAACCATTAATGGAATGCGCTGTCGGTCTAATTAATTTGTTCTATGTTTATTTAATTAATATTTAAAGTACAATCATTCAATACTGAATCAGAATTTTAATCGATTGGCAATTTTAATTAAAAGAGTCACAATTTATGTTCTAGTTGTGATGTTTATAATAGTACATTTTTTAATGAATTTTATTTATTTATTTAAATATTTAATTAATATTTTTATGAAATATACAAAATTTATTTTTTTTAAATTAAAAGTAATATGTAAAATTTGGATTTCCAAGTCATGAAATAATTGACTCACATGATTTAGGTAGATGATGAAAATTTTTTTAGCTTAAATAATTAATATTCTGCTTGGAACAATTTCTTAGTTGTTTTGTTTTGCAGACAGTAATTATAATTTAATTTGATTATTATTTTTTTATTGCTTTCATAATATTTTTTAAATATTTTTATGACAAAAACTATTTTTTATAATTAGAATAGCTGAATTATTTTCTCCAAAATAACTTCAGCCATCCAAACAGTCCATAAATGTTATCCTTCTGTTCTAGCAGATAATTAAAAAATAATATGAAATTAAATGATTAATTATATTATTGGGATTCAATATTTATAATGAAATATAAAAAATTGTAATTAATATTTAAATTAATTTCATTTGGGTATAATTTCATAAAAAATGAACTAGTAAACCTAATAATGATATTGATAATATTAATTAAAAGAATTATTTTAAAAATTATATTATGTTCCATATTTAAATTTAAAAATAATGATCTTATAATATGACTTAGTTTTTAAATTTATCTGAATTGAAATTAAATCTTCATAAATTAATATTACATCATTTAGCACTCCTATGATAAAATAAATAAATAAAATTTAAATCTAAATGTATGAATTTTCATTAAGAAATTAATTAATACATTTAATTATTTAAAGCTAAATACAAATTATATTAAATAGCAGTGATGTGTGTAAGATGAAATGGTCCAAATGGCAATCAATTCTCTCGCTACTATCCTAAGTCCTAACACGTAGGTATCCAACGCATCTTCATTGATTAA